CTCCAAACAATGTGCAGATTTTAAAAAATGAAATGCAAAAATCAAGTTCAACCAAGTATCACACGTAGTATTGTTAAACATCCACGACATGAACGGTACTCATCCAAAAAAATCATGTCAAACCCATCATTTCGAACTCTTCAAGTGTGAAACTCTTTTGAGAATTTTTGTTCAATACTTGATTTACGTTGTGGTAGCTGTGGTTCAAATCAAACCTAATTAGTCAAACACAATAAAAATGTAAAAGAATGTGTGAGTGAGTGGTTGTGCGTGTGATTTGCATGCGCAGTGTGCATGCGTTATGTTGTGTGTTAGTTTGTGTGTTTATGCAGAAAGTTGATGAGAGAAAGAGGACCTGAACTGTATTTTCGGTGATGTATCTCTCAGTGGTGGGTCGTTGACCGTGGTGAGTTAGTTGGATGTGTTTAGAGAGGGAGGGGGAGATAGAGAGACTAAAAAAGGAGAGAGACAGAAAAGCAAGGGAAGAGAGAAATAGGGAGCGTGAGCAAATTAAGCCGTGAGTGAGACTAATTGGGAGTAGAGAGAGGGGGGCAGAGTATTGTCGGAGTAAAAATTTGAGATATTAATTATGAAAATTAATATTCTGGCAAAGTAATTGCGGGCAAATATTCTAGCAGTAATTGTTGGGTTTGATTGTGTTGATCAGTTGGAAAAATTAAATTTAGGCATATTAGTGTTAGAAACTAACAATTTTGAGCATTAAAATTTTTTTAAGAGCTAATATGGTATATCGAATCGAAACGATCTGAGACGTTTATAGCTCGAGACAGTTTGGAATAACGTCAGCCGTTAGATGATGCTTCTTTTTGTTTTGAAATGATCTAAACCACTCTTTATCTTTTGAATTCAAAATCGTTCTACTTTATTATATAGATATGTTTAATATTTTCATACTAGTCATGACCCGTGCCTGAAAGCACGATAAAATATAAAATTCAACCGTCCAAAAAATCGATTACACTATATTAAATTTTTTTAAAATATATTAACTAAAAATTAATTAAATATTAAATGATTAAATATATAATAGAAATGAGTGGTGAGATATTTTTAGGGAAGAAATATATAAATAATTAAATATGTGATAGATGAGTGATGAGTGATGTGATTTGACATTTGAGTCTGACAAAGAGATGATGAGTGAGGTAAGTAATTGATGATGATTTTGAGGGAAAAAATATGACTGAGATAAAATTTAAACACACTCTTATTTTATTATATATATTGCGATTAAGTTGTTATAGATAATTACTCGACCTCACAAGGAAGTATTTATTTTATATTGCTTAATTGGAATAAGATTTTGAATAAGGTATTAAGGGCTTTGGATACCTTATACCAAGAGGTTTGAGATCATTTGTTCCTTAGTATTTTAATTCATTTGTCTTATTATAAAGAATAATAAGCAAATCTTGTACAGTTTATGACCTCTACCCACAGGAAGGTTTAGATTTACTCTATTGAATTTTACAATTATTCTTTCGAAGTGCTTATTATATTCTTGGTTATTGCAGTTGTTGCTATCTCTTATTTAATGAGTCTTCTAACATTCCATCGCTATGTGGTGGAAATTTTTCGGATTGAAAGGACAAAATTCTATTGACATTAGGATGTATGGACTTGGATTTGGCACTTCGCATTGAAGAACCTCCAATACCCTCTGAGTTTAAGTTTATTGATCGAAAAGAGTGCCTATGAGCGATGGGAGCGATCTAATCACTTAAGTCTAATGCTCATCAAGTCACATGTGAGCAAGAGCATCAGAGGTTTTATTTCAGAATGCGATAAAGTGAAGGACTACATAAAGGCCATTGGCGAGCAATTTGTTAGTTCAAATAAGGTCTTGGCCAGCACCCTAATGAACAAGTTATCAGGCATAAAGCATAACAAATCTAGGAGTATGCGTGAACATATTATAAAAATGAGGGACATTGCAGCTCAACATAAGTCCCTTGAGGTTGAGATCTCTAAGTCATTCCTTGTCCAGTTCATACTTAACTCTCATCCTGCTGAATTTGGACCATTCAAGATCTCTTATAATACACAAAGAAAAATGGTTCATCAATGAAATTCTGACTATGTGTATTCAAGAAGAAGAGAGGCTTAAGCATGAAAATTTGGAAAATGCCCATTTGATCACTCATAAAGGTGGACAAGGTAAGAAAGACAAAAGTGTTCTAAAATGGAAGAAATATGACAAAGGGTCATTCAAGAAACATGGTCATAAGGATGTTTGCTTCTTTTGCAAGAAGAAGGGACACTTCAAGAAAGATTGCCTGAAATATAAGAAGTGGCATGAGAAGAAGGTAATCTCATATCTCTTGTATGTTATGAATCCAATTTAATCAATTCTCATCATAACACTTGGTGGATTGATTCAAGTACTACAATTCATGATGTCAATATCATGCAAGGCTTCCTCAACCTAAGAAAAACGATGAAAAATGAACGTGACATCTATTGGATGCATTTGTACGTCGAGGTTGTTGGAACTTTTAGACTTGTTTTAGAAACTGGCTTTCTACGCATACTTTGACAAGTGAGACCATCCAATCCCATCATGACTTCCTCCACCACCTACACCATGCCAATATGCCCAAATCCATCATGAGTTCAACACTCCAATGGCCATTTTTCATCACAAAACCTCAACCACCGTCACCACCACCATCACCATATTAAGTCTGATATTCTTAGCTTTGGATTTATGCTGTTAGAGATCATCTATGACAGGAAGAACAAGGGTTACTCCCATGAAAACTCTCTTAATTTAATTAAACATGTAAGTACATGTAAATAGATGCATCGAAGCCAAGACTACAACTTCACCGTTAATTATAGAAAATTTTATTCAGTAAATTGTTGAAAACCATGACTTTCACATGACATGCAATTTTAAGAAATAAAAAAATTAAGATGATCTGAGTTGAAGTGAAACAAAAAGACAAAAAAAGCAAGAGGCATTTCTATGTGATTATGTACCTACAAATGATATTTGATGTTGTATCAGGTTTAGGGCCTATGGAAAGAAAGCAGGGCCTTGGACGTAGTTGATTCATCATTTTGTGAGTCATATCAAGTTCATAAAGTGTTGAGAAGTATACACATTAGGCTACTATACGTGCAAGTATTTGTTGTTGATCGGCTTACCGAGTCAAAAATAGCTTTCATGTGTCATTAGCTCGGGTGGGAGCTGTTTCTGCAAATGATGTCACTCCAACTATTGTTGAAGCTCCTTAAAGGCTCATTCCCATGTAGACTGCATATTTTTGAAGTTAGTAGACTCAACATTTTAGACATCGAGGTCTGCGTTGTTCAATATGCTTGCTAAGGTCTGATGGACCTTTTTAAACTAACCCAAATCAATTTTTTTGGTTTTTTTTTTAATTTTAGAAAACAAATTGACGGGCCTATGGATTGGACTATGGGCCTAATTGGACCAAATACATGACTGATGGCGCTAATTGATGCACATGGTCAAACCATCTAGCCTTCGGATCCCCTCGTAGGTCTCGAAATTGAAAAGCTAACTCACCTTTTGATGAAAAATTTCCACTTCCATGAAAAATGAGCATTGATGAATTGAAAGATATGTAAAGTGGTCACACACATAAACAAGAAAATTACTCTATAACCACTTGCTACCCCATTCGACTTCAAATTCTGCACCACATAACCTAATGTCATTCTTGCTGTACAAAATGTGTAAAACCCTTTGACAAGTTTTGGGGCAATTAAAAGTTAGGACCACTGATTAAAAATTCCAACTACCAAAACTTAAAGTTGAAAACAACCATCGTTGAAAAAATCAACAGGAAAATTGATTTCATACCTAATTCAAATGTATCCATTAAATTGCCTTGTATCCATCAAATCCCCATAACAAGTCAAGCATTCAATCACTTTCTCCAGCATTAACATTAGCACACTTCTGTACCTGTCACTCTGTCTATTCTTCAGGACTCCGTTGTCAAGCTTGGCTTAGTTGACATTTTTGCGCCTAGCTTGAGGGGGAGTGTTGGAGTATAGATAGTAGTCTAGGTTTATTAGGATTTCTTTTCTCTTTTTTACCCTTACTATGATTTTTATATTTTGTCTAAACTACAAGGATGTTTAAGTCACTCTGTATTATTTTTGGCTATATATACGGGACTCTATTTTGAGTTTGAGTATCCCGTTCACATATTTCAAGTCATACATTAAAATTGCCGCATGATAGCTTCGTTATCGATATCATAGAAAATATATTTCTCTATATCCACAATTGTGTTGAGCATCTTTCAATTTGAGGTAATATTGCATGCACATATTTACTTAAAAAATTTATTGGGTCAATTATATTTTCATTTCTATTATGACAATAGACAGGGGAAGGGGACAAGAGTACATTTCTCTCTCTCTCTCTCTCTCTATAAATTGATATAATGAATAACATATTGCACTCTGCATTGACTGGGAGCTCAAGTGGTACTTTTTTTTTTATTAGAAGCACCGCCCTCAAATTGGACGTTCTCGCAATTCTTTGTACGAGTGCTTATTAAAGGGCAAGACCAATTGAATGGTCAAGTCTCAAACCATCCAACACCATTGAATAGTACTCCCAACCAAAGCCAAGTCGTTGATTATGACTGGGAGCATATGATTTTTCTTTTGCCTTTTTTCTATCACGACTATATATTTAGGATTTATATTCATTAAACGTACGTCTCAAAAGTTTTGCTTACCGGCCCATTTGTCATGTACACATACATAAGAATGTCACAAAAGAAAAGGCCTTCATGAAGATCATGATATCTATCACCCAAATGTGATCACAAAACTATGAACCATCACAATCTTAGATGCGTGTCTTAAGAGCAAGACTGATAAGAAGGGTCAACATAAGGAAACCACCTCTCAAATGCCTTCCTTTTCTTTAACCACTCCCATCCATATCAACCTTTTATTTTCTTTCCAAACTTTCCAAATTCAACTCAGCGTATAGTGTGAAACTTTGCATCCTCCAAGTCAAGATTGAATTGTAGAAAGAAAGAGCAATAACCCAATTCAACTCCATATTACTCAGACGATGGATGCTTCATTAATTTCACAACTAGCAACTTCCATCTTCGACACCACTTTTTTCCATAGAATTCTTGTTATTTTTCAATGGAGATACTTATAAGCTTAAACGGTAATAGGACTGCAACTTTATACTCAAGCCATTAGTTCATCATCCTTCACCCGCCTATTTCTGCTACTGAAAACTTGCATCATACAATAAAACAAAAATGGATTACTGGGGACTGCTTGTCTTCCTTTCTCAGATCATTGCAACCTTCGTTGGCCTAACCAATTCGCAGCCTGATTTGCGATACCACTTCTGTACTGGAGATAATGATACTACGAGCATGTATGAGGTAAATAAGAACACCCTCCTCCACTCCCTCTCCTCCAATATGGATATATATGGCTTTTACAATTCCTCTCTTGGCCAAAACTTCGATAGAGTTAACGCATATGCACTTTGTCGAGGTGATGTCAAGCTTGATATATGTCGCAGTTGTGTCACCAACTCTACTCTTAAGCTCATGCAACTTTGTCCAAACTACAAGGGGGCAATTGGATGGTATGATCTTTGTACGTTAAGGTACTCAAATCAAAGTCTATTCGGCATAGTGGAAGGTGGCCTGAGCATGACTGCATATATTTATTCCGGTGGGGTTTCAGACGTGATTCAGTTCAATTCAGTACTAAGGACATTGTTGGACAGTCTACGGAGCCAAGCAGCATCAGGTGGTCATCTACGTAAGTTTGCTACAGGGAACATGAAGGGCCCTCACTTTCTAACGATATATGGGCTTTTACAATGCACTCCTGATTTATCTGACTTGCTTTGTAACGATTGCCTGGATGGGGCTGCTGGAGAAATACCAAGATGTTGCAATGGAACAACAGAACTGTGGATTCTAAAACCTAGTTGTGCTCTTAGGTATGATATCAAGCGTTTCTATGATGAAACACCAGCTAGTGCACCACCGCCGTTGCAGTTGCCATCGCCACCACCACCATCAGCTTCTCCAGGTTTGGATTTGATTGGTATTGTTTTCACATTGAATTGTTGAAGGATACATATACATCTAAAGGGATGTCTGTTCTATTCCTTTTTTTTTTTAGAGAAATATATATCATTATGTCGCTCTCTTTCAAAAAAAATGTAGTGATAAAGATTAGATGGATTCTATCCCACTCTATAAAACTAGTTGGGGGAGGGAGGGAGGGAGGGAGGGAGGTAAGGCTTCATAGCAACTTTCATTCTAAAGGAAAACGAAGACCCAACCTTTAGTCAATAGGAGCCCTACTTCCCTCTTTGTGATCCCATCACTTTAATTAAAGTGCAAACCCATTTTTTAGTCACCAGTGTGAAGATTGTTATCATATTAGGGCAAGATTATGTTACTGTCTTTGGTATAATATCAAGATTAATAAGAAAATAGGGGTTACTACATATTTGGAGTTAATACGACTAAACATACCAGTGACGAGTTTTACGACTTTCTGATTTAAAGTTACAATTCATAAAATAGGAATTTATCTTAAAATGATATGATCTATCTTAATTATTCACCAAAAAAAAACTATAGTTTTTTGGACTTAGACTATGGTACCACCAAAAAAAATTTCGGTACCATACTTCCAAAATTTATTTTCATAGTTTTTGTGAATGATTTATCACTTTTGTATATGTTTTTATTATTGTTGTGGTAGTTATTTTTATCACTTTTCCTTAGTAAAAAAAAATCAGTAATGTTAGACTAACCAAATTTTAGGACCAAATTTAGAGCTCAAATGACATGGCGGCCGACTTGAGCATTTTTATTTGGTGTCATGTCATTTGGGCCCCAAGTCATTTGGGATGGATATTTGGTCAATAAATTTGGTCGGTATAATATTACTCAAAAAAAATTATTGCTTTTGTCAGACTTTTTATTACTGTTGTAGTAACTATTTTTATCACTTTTTTGGATATCACAATAATGGTAAAAATAATTGCAACAATGATAAAAATATTCAAAAATATGATAAATTTTGGTATGATACCGAAATTTTATTTTTTGGTGCCGTAGTTAAGTCCTAATTTTTATCCTCGGGACAAGTACTTATCCCACAAACAAATATAGTCAAATTTAACATATTTTTTGCATTACGTAACCTGCCCTTAAACCAAATTTTGATTTTATTTCCCTCTTAAACTTGACATCTTTCGAACATACAAAACAAAACAAAAAAATTTTGACAAAATATGTAAAACTAGATAAATAGAACTGTTGGGAATTGTATACATATGCCGAAGTGTAAGTTCAAATACATACTTTAATTCATTTTGATCCCAAAACCTTTGAAAAATGTTTTACGTACTTTAGAATTTGAAAAAACCATCTTTACTTTGTTTGCTCGAGCGATATAATGTTGTTACGCAACATGAATCAATACTAGATTTTTTGCAACACAAAAGTCTTTTTAACGTTACGTAGGGGGAGAGAATCTAATGTTAATTTTTTTTTATGATATCCATTGGTTGTTTTAGAGTTTATATAGGCAACTAATAGAGATGCCTTGGAGAAGAATATTACTGTTAGTGGTTGAACAGATACATCCCTTGGGTGTAAAGGACTTCTCCAAGAGTTATGCCCCTTGGGGATTCTCTAATTGGATTGACCTATCAAGGTCGCCCCGGTTCGGCATGACCCAAACCCAATAGCTAACGTCTCCCAATCGCTCATGGTAGGTATGACATTGTTATTTCTTTCAATCTATTATATACATCAACGTCAATTTATACAGGCTAATGGGTAGTGCGACCGTTGAATATAATTACAATTTAGGAGTTTTACACTAGAAACTCAACAGAGCCAGTATAGAGACATCAACCTTAAAAAAATGAAAATAATGTATCAAGTACTTTAGATCCATTCAGATACACCGGTTCAAACATTTCTAATCTCTCACAATAAAAGAGCATGTTTAACCCCTCAAGCAATTCGTCTATATATTCACACGTTTTCACTATTTAAAATAGTGTCCAAAATTGTCGACAGTGAATATATCGCGGGATATTCTAAGTGGTCTTCCTTTCGCCCTCATGTCACTTAATTCAAAATTAACCACTTTCCCATCAATGTCCCCAAACCGAAACTCGCAACTCCTCATAGGGAATTCGTCCTTGCTAGCACTCATTTGTTTTTGAAAACATTTGCCTTATTAGATGGTTGCATAACAGTATTACTTGTGCCTGGGTCATTTTGGTTATACTTAATACATCTATTTTATTCATTTGGGGCATATGTACAATTTGTCACCATGGGATAAAGCATTCCTAAATTTCCGACTCACTTATATAATGGAATCGAAACATATTGTTGTTCTTTTTTGCAGGCAAGGGTGATAGCACGAGTCGAACTGGCATCATTATTGTCATTCCAATCACCGTCTCGCTAATTCTTATTATATCTATTTCAATCTATCTTAGAAAGAGAAAGCATATGAATTCCAAGTACAAAATTGACGAAAGTAAGTTCAAAATGATTTTTGACCATATTTTACATTAACACCATAATCAATTTCTAACTCAACAATTGTGTCCATTATAAGGTAGGATCGTTGTTGCATTCTGGTTTAAAGTGTTGGCATGATAGCTTAAGAGAATGGTGGGGTCAAAGGTTCAAATATCAATCATTGAGATTTGAAAACTATTTCCCGCAATAAAAAAATGTTATGTGGTAGTTGAGATGTAATGCATAACTATATCTTTGTGTTCCTCTTACTTCAAAATTTGTGGTTTATTTCTCATGAAGCCATGGACGAAGACAACAATGCACAATTTTTGCAGTACGACTTTGGTACTATGAGAGTTGCTACAAGTAACTTCTCTGATAGTAATATGCTTGGAAAAGGCGGATTTGGGAATGTTTACAAGGTAAAAAAAAATTGAAAATCTTTCAAGTTGTGTCCCATCAAACAATTTGCATCCCTTAAGAGATATAATTAAATTAACATTGGTGTTGATTTTTTGCAGGGTAGGCTTTCAAATGGGCAAGAAATAGCTGTGAAGAGGCTATCCATGAATTCCAAACAAGGTGACCTGGAATTTAAGAATGAAGTCTTGTTGATGGCGAAGCTTCAACACAAGAATTTGGTTAGGCTCTTAGGCTTCTGCCTTGAAGGGACTGAAAAACTTCTCATATATGAGTTCTTACCCAACGCAAGTCTTGATCATTTCATATTTGGTACGATATCTCTGTTGCTTCAACATAGTGCTTATCTTTATCGACTCGATTCAGAATTGCAAGCATAAAACATCCAGGCTTCAAGCTTTTATGTTAACATCAAGCACAAAAATGAAATACATGTGATACCACTGTTATCTAAAAGAATTGATATTTAGTAGAGCTATAATTAATCCTTATGCTTGGTCGAATATGCAGATCCAATCAAACGAGCATATTTGGATTGGGATGTGCGCTACAAAATCATAAGAGGCATCGCTAGGGGACTTCTCTATCTTCATGTAGATTCTAGACTTCGGATCATTCATCGGGATCTCAAAAGCCAGCAATATTTTATTAGATGAAGAGATGAACCCAAAAATTGCAGATTTTGGGATGGCAAGACTTTTCCACTTGATGAGAGTCAAGGAATTACGAGGAGGATTGCTGGAACCCGGTGAGTATTAACTCAAATAATCAATTATCAAACAAGTCTCTAACCGTCATTTGTTTCATTTGGATGTGTACATTACAAAAATTCAAAATTCTTACCATGTATCTTAAGTAAGTAACAAATGGAAAAAATATTTGTTTGAGTACAATCTTGGATATGCAAAGTAATTGTTTGGGAACCTCTAGGAAAAAAAAATTGAGGTATAGACATGGTCTTCAATTTTAAAACTAATAAAAAGTGTTAAAACTTAAAATTTGCAGTGGTTACATGGCACCGGAGTATGCAAGACACGGCCAATTTTCAGTTAAGTCGGATGTATTTTGCTTTGGAGTATTAGTTCTAGAAATTTTAAGTGGTCGGAAGAAAAACAATTTTGAACATGAGAGGAATGGAAAGGACCTTCTAAGCTATGTAAGTATGAATAAGGATGAGAATTACAATTGCCATTAAATATAAAACAATAGCTTTTAACTACACTTATTGAATGTTCACAGGCTTGGAAACATTGGAGGGAAGGAACAGCTTCAAATTTGGTAGATCCCTTAATGAGGGCTCGGCCAAGTGCAATACATGATACAATGAGATGCATACATATTGGGTTGCTATGCGTTCAAGAAAATGTAGTAGAGAGACCAACCATGGCTTCGGTTGTTCTTATGCTTAATAGCTTCTCGCTATCTCTCCAAGTACCTTCAAAGCCAGCATTTTTTATGCAGAGTACCATTGATGTAGGAATGCCATTGCTTCGAGAGCATGATTCAGGGGTGACCCAAAGTAGTCAATTGAAAAATGAGTCTGGTTTGCGTCAGTCAATGATATTTCAATTACTGAGTTATATCCCCGCTAATATATTAGATTCCTGATGACAGTGACAAAAATATTGACACTTTTTTGGTTCAAATTAGAAGAGGACTCACCATGTGTGTGAAAATGCTTGTTTTTTTAAAAAAAAATTCTGATGTGTTCTATTGTTGTACGTTTGTGTTGCTTTCTCAAAATATTATGTTTTTAAGTATTGTGGTATAATTAATTTCACATTGGTTGTAGATGGTGCGATATGAGTTTAGTGTGCTAATATTGGGTAACTATTTCAACATGGCTATGGTTTATGATGATTAACAAGAGTGCATGTAGAGTTGTTTATAATGGACTTACTTGAGGTGCAACTCATTTGAGATGGGTTCTTTGGGATTAATTTGGGCAGCATACTATTTATGTTAAAGATTGTTTGATGCAAGTTCCCAAAGCATGTTTTGATCACATAAATGGTTACAATACAATTAGATTGGATTTACTAACTCAATAAGATTGTAAGGTAGGTTTTTAGTCATTTGTAAGCAAAACCAATGTTTGAATAAGACGTCATTTCTTAGAAAATCAAATCATTACGACACATGAGTTTTATCGGGGGCTACGAAATCCACTACTTAATCCAACCATGTAAACAACCTGCAAAATTGTTTTCAATCACAATCGCGAATCATGAGAGAGTGACTTGTGTGACGTATCTATATTTAAAAAACAAAGGACTATTAGCTATTGGTTGGTCCTTTAGTACTCAAATCTGTACAGAGTGAATAATTTAACGCACTAAAATTTAATTTAATGGATGTTGATGGGCCAAGTCTAAGGGTCTAACTCATGTTATAAGTCCAGTTCAAGTTTATAGTTCAATTCCAAAGGATCCAGCAAACCCAGTCTAGCGTGGTCAACCCGGTCAAGCTCACTAGTGTGATCAACTCGGTCAAGTTCATCAACTCAAGGAGCTAAGGGAGCAAGCAAGGTCATCCAAAACTTATCCTCGTCGCCTTGCAGATGGTCAACACCTAACCTCATCCTTTGACCGAATCTCATGGAGAGCACATAACTGTATTGCACATTGAGAAGAGCTCGTCAGATCCAACAGACTAGCCAACTACTTACTAATATCACGCCCAAATCTGTTGAGGGGCGACTATAAATTGTAAGCCCACAAAAACTTGGGGGCATCACACCCTCTTGAGCGCGACTCTCTCCTCTCCCTTTTAGCATGTAACTCTCTACTCTCCTGCACACTTGAGTTTATAAAATACCTGACAACCCAAGCCATTTAAAAGTGGACGTAGGTCATGTTGACCGAACCATTATAATTCTTGTCTTCTCTCTTTATTGATTAATTACTGCATTTATTACTGATATTTGACAGGTGGTGTGCAAAGCTAATTTATGCATCATCAGTTTGGCACCGTCTATGGGAACAACAAAAATTCTCACTTCTAAACACTTCATTTGTTGAACCAATGACGATCACTAGCAGATTCATGAATCAACCTAAAGACAATCCAGCACGAGAGCAGGAGGTAGCTCCTCCACCAACCAATCCTGTCCCAAAATGCTTCTGTCCCAATTATGCAGTAGATGTTGGAGACTATGCAGCAGTTTGTGGCCCAAAAATAACAGATCCTACAACTCATGTTCGCGTGGACAA